TCAATTATACCTCTGATGTTCACAAATGAGGAAATTTATCCTGTCCAGGATCTGATGTTTTCATATAAACGATGCTGCACTTCAATGGTTAGATGGCCTAGACATTGGTATTTAAATATAGACCTTTTTAACATTTATATTTTATTGTGTGTTTTTAATCTAGGCAAAATATGTTAATATCTATTGCAGGTCCATTTATGATATGCCATACACTAAATAAATAATAATATAAGGTAATTACTCTTGTAATACTCCCCAAAACTTCTAATTCCTAGTTATCATTTCATGGGTAGATCTTTACCCCCTCCCCATCTCTTTTAGCTAATAGTAATCTATCTGTTCTTCACACAGATAGACCTTGATAAGAGATTATTTTTCATAATCTCAAAATGACATTAACTTCAACAATGACCGATCTTTGGGTTAATATTTTAAGTTATTTATTTTTATTTTTAAAATAATGAAATGCAAGCAACTCCACAAATGAATAGAGTAGTGTTAATAAAATTTAAAATATATTACATATATTGCAGTAGTTATAATAAACTAAAAGTAACAGAAAAGGAATAAAGAATTTTAAAAATCCATATAATACCCAGTTAGTATCAACATGGATTAATTCAACCCTTAAGCTTGTCATTAAATCTGAATAATGTAAACCATATTGCTTCGTCTTTTCATTTTTAGAAAATAAAAGAGTTCTCAAAAACAGATCACAGAGTATATCCTGAATCTATTCCATAATATTGGAAGGACATATTTTTTTCTATTGATGTAAGAATGTCTTCTTTGCCAAGAGCCAAAGCTCTTCATAAAATAAAAATTTTAAGTAGTAGAAACATGATTTAATGTCACATTTATGTCTTTAATTATTACATTTCTTTCCAAAATTATACTAATGTAGCCCCTGAAACCAAACTGAAGCTAGACAAGACCAACTCATGTTAATGTTGATTAAAGTTACTTGCAAGCATTGAACTTTTCCTGCAGTTTGTTCTCTCAGCAATTCAAGCTAAGTGCCCCCATTCCCCTCAGAAAGAACTAAATCTTTTGCACTTTTTATTTAAAAGCTTCTCACTAGCAGTTTTAAATCTCTTTTATCTGAACCTTAATTGCTCAAGAGTATAAAAAAAAGTCACTTAATCTCTTTAAGGTTCAAACCTAAACACTGTATACCCAATTCTTTTTGCAGAGGTGCCTAACTTACACAGTTTTAATCAGTGGTGGGATTCAGCCGGTTCGCACCACTTCGGCAGAACTTTTGTTGCCCAGGCCCAGAATGGACTTCCAGAAGCAGCATCCACATAGAGAACCAATTGTTCACATATTTGAATCCCACCACTGGTTTTAATCCACTTCTTTAAGGCTTTACTATTATGCTGTCACTTTTCATAGTTTAGGCCAAGCAGCTAATTATTCTAATTAAATGATTTCCTACTACATATGCCAAACGTTTTTAGATCTTTCATATCTTCTCTCAAGGTAATTTAATTTGGGTTAACTTGACTAAATTTAGGTTTACACAATAGGGTTACTCAAAATTGCATAAATAAAAAAGAAAAGAAAAGTATGCATGTCAAATATTTGATGCTAAAAGAACAACTAGCAGAAGCAGATCTGGTCTTACCTGACAGTTTTCTTGGACTCTCTCTAATTTTGTAGATTTTGGAATAGTGACTATGCCATTCTAGAAAAAAAAAATCATTATTGATAGAAGCAAAGATCTATTTTTTTAAAAAAGGAAAGAGAAACAATTTAGGAGTTTATACTACTGCAATTTGGTAATAAATCATATCCTTATGATGTGTTATGGGCATGTTTAGACGCAAAACATGTCTTTCGTTGACAGATTATATTTTTATGTACAGGTGTATATTTTATAGAAAATGTTATATCATTTGAGTTCCCATCTGCAATTTCAATAGAGTCAAATACGTAAGTTTATTACCTCATCACTCTTTGGAAGAATGAAACCATAAGTATTTATACACAAAGAGAAGGACACAGATAGTCACTTAGGTGTGTGCGAGGTACAAAATTTAATGCTGTAAAAAAATTAAGATGGATATATACCTTCAAGAAATACTAGTGCTTTGACAGTTGAGGTATCCATTGTAAGGCCTATAGGACCTTGTGAATTTATCTTTGACTGTGGTAGATCATATCTAGCTAAGACAGTGTTGCCACCCTGTTTACTTGCAATTAATTCAACTTTGTGTGTGAGAAAGTAAGAGTGAGAGAGCGTGCATGTGTGACTCTGTGTTCAGAACAATATATTCTTGTGGCTCTGTAGTATGCCAAAATTTTCATGGGTGATTAATAATGCTTCCTCAGGTTTTTTTAGTACTATCTCCATCTGAGACATTTAAATACATGGGAAGGAAGCCCCGATAAAGTTTCATCAGAATCTCGGTTATTTTCTCCCAATATTAATTCATGTAACAGATTTATTTCTAGATGTTATTGCATAACTATTTACAACATATAAATATTATCTTTTCCTGAACATGTGTACACTACTACAGATACATCTTTCAGTCAGAACACACTACAAGCATCTCTGTTCTGATTCACGACAGCCTCAAAAGTAACAGATTTAAAATAAGGCCACGTCCCAGACTACAATAATTACTCAGTGAAATGCAGAACGGAAGTTAAAAAACTCCAGACCTGCTCCCGATAATTATTTACTACAACAGAACTGAGACCAAATTATTTTTGAACAATTTCGGATACTGCTCTACTTTCAGTTACTGCTTAATGAGAAATCAGCTATTCAGTGGACATAGAAAACCAAGAGACAAGCAAAGTGAACCTATTACTGCGTGGGAAGTTTTATGTAGCTAGACAGGAAATGCATTCTCTTACATGTCATTAATTGTTGTTTAACAGAACTGAAAGTTCAGGACTTACCTGGATGCTCCAGCGAATACAGATTTGTGCAGGAGTTCTGCCATATTTCTTTGCAAGCTGAACAATGTTGGGATGATTAAGAGCTTCACCTTTAGCTAGTGGACAGTAGCCTTCAAAAACAATATTCTTGCTTTGGCAATACTCTACTAGCTCTTGAGGCCTTTGGAAAGGATGATATTCTACCTTTTTTAAAAAGAAGAAGAAAATTTACTTCAAAGTTCTTGTCGGTTTATAACCTATTACAACATAAAGGTCAAGCTACTGAATGTTGCTACACTTTTGGCATAATGCTGTCATGTCAATAACATTTTATTAACTTTTTTTCCTTCCAAAAGCCAAGGAAAATCCCCTTGTGAGGAAACATGAAATTCTGAAAAAAATGGGGCATGGTTACTAGCATCCTCAGAATGCATAAAAAAAACTGCTAGTTCATAATCTCTGTACAGTAATCTACGTCACTGCTTCCTGGAGAAGTCAGAATTCTAGACAGAAGCTATAGGACAATAACTGCATCAATTATACTGTCTCCTCTTCCAGGATAGGATTCATGTTTTTATCTTCACTGTCTTGTTCTCCAGAAATAACAATATAGTGACAATGGAAAGAAATCATAAGATATTCTCCTTCCTCTTAATTTTCTGCAATTGTCCCATTTTCCTAGACCTACAAAGAACATGCAAAACATGCAGCATGCATTCAACTCAAGGAAGCTCACTAATGTTTCCATTAGAATCCTCCATTAGATTATTTTTTCATTATTCAGCCAAGGATTACAGGTGAAACAGTGAATCTCTAAGAGGCTAGTATAATAGAATAAAGTGAATCCAGCTTAAGAAATAGCCAGCTTAAGAAAACAAAAGCATTCTCGGAATCTGCATTCTGTATGGCTGAGATAACCTTTAAATGCTAAGGTTGCAAAAAAAAATGTACAGCTATTAATTGGAATTTGTATTTATCCTCCCCCCCTTTTTTAATTCTTTCCAACTAGTAAAATAGTAGAAAATAATATAGGGGTCATGATACCTCTCCCAAACCTTCAATTAAATTTGGTGTAAATAGTGAAGCCAGCAAATGAAAGATAGCTTGAAAATAAGTCAGATCTGTTTGATGGTTATGGAGGAAAAATATTCTTGGTATATACCTATAGAATGCTGTTGGCAGCTATCCCCTTCTAAGCCCAATCCCAGTCATGTAACAGAGTGGATAATACACAGCTCATCCTGTACTTGCTGGGAGTAAATATGTAGTCTCACAGATTTAACATAAGAGAAAGCAGAAAAACAGGACACTCACAAATGCAACATATTTCTTTATTATCCAGAAGAAAAACACAGACACCTTCTATAGCCTCTGCTGGCAAACAGATTGGAAACAATGCCAGAAGCCATTTATCCTAGATTTTGTTTTGACTTCTCAGTTTTCATTGCAATACATACCTGTTATTCAAGCTCTTCAAATTTCACTAGGATTCAGGTTCCTGACTAGCTTCTTAATTACATGTAAACATTTAATAAATGAGACTTCTTATCGTGTTTAGTATTAGGACAAAATAAAAATAAAATGCTGGTGTTTTGCAAAGATATACCAGATGTTTCCATGGGATGGAAATGAAAATAAAAATATTTTATTTAAATATAGTTGACATTTCAAAGCTAGCCAAATTCTGAAATCTCATGAGGAGGATATTCTCAGTAGTTATGAAAGCTGAAACTTCTTTTAAAAAATAGATTAATTTTTATTGAACTTGGAGATGGTACAGTCACAAAACCCAGCATTGTCAACACCTGACTATGTGGTATTCCACAAAAGTTTATGGCTATCAAGTAAGGATCCACATAATAACAAAAGTTGGAAAACATTGATTTAAAATGTTTATGATGATTTATGATGAAATCTCCTCAGTGAAGGAGAGGATTGTGAATACTTTTCTTTTTTAGCACAGAGTTTAATCTTGTGTAGATAGTAGTCAAGTAGTAAGAGAAATATGACACATTTTGTGGGCAATATTGGAATGGAGAAATGTTTAAGAAATATCATATAACAAATTTAATATACAGCTTGACATTTTTGGACAAGTCATACTATATTTGTGTTTTTCCATATCATTTCTTAGTTTAAGGGCTGACTCAAGAGCTTTCTGTTTCTTAAAATCCATATTCAACCTGGAAAGTGATCCAAGGAAAATATGAGTTCAAAAGTTGATAGAAGACCAGAGAAATGGGCAAGATAAATATGAATAAATACATGATGAACATGAATTTACTGATACAGTGTCCAAAGGAATAATTATGTGGTAAAACCTGCAAAAATGTGAATTATCCTGGTGTTACCTCTCCCTGTAATTTTAGCACAGAAGATTAAAAAAACAAAACCTGACACAATCCCTGCACCAAAGGAGCTATTTTCCCAACACATGCAAAAGACAGTAGAAATTCTGTAACAGAGTCAGTTCATAGAGAGCAATCCCAAACTGCCATCTAAGTTCTTCCAATGACCTAAATATCTACGTATTTTTATGGTGAAGCAGCAGCAACAGCAGCAACAGCAGCAAGAGTGTTATAGTTCAGCACAAATGACATCAGCATGAGGAATATGGAAATTTTCATCCACCCTGAGTAGGATGAAAGGCTGTTTCCTGTTTCTCATCTTTAGGACATGTTGTCTATTCAGGCAACAATAGCCAGAAACAATAGGCTGGCATCTGCTCAACATGGGCTCTGAGAAACGCAGGCACTCCAGGGCTAGGCTTGGTCAGCCTCAACCTACTGTGATCAAAAATGACTGCCTGGATGGGAAACAAGGTTCAAGCAGCAGACACATCCATTTCTTCAACCCCCTTTGAAGTTTCTTGACCTCTCTGTGGCCTTCTCCACCACAGGCTTACAATTGCAGAGACACCGTAGAGAAACATTCACTTGCTCATCTTCTTCCACCCAAAAAGACTACAATAGAGACCATTTCCAGTAGTTTCACTGGAGTGTTTTGAGGAAGAGGGAAGTGGCAGAACATCCGGGTGTACCTTTCCATTTCACAGAATCCCCAAACATTAGAGAGTGACCACTGGAGATTTATGGGACGGAAAATCAGTGGGAAAGAAAAGGTCAATCCGAACATTACCTGCCTATTGGAAGAGCTCACCTCTAAGGAAAAATCAAACTGTTTGCACACTATAGTAGCTTATAAAATTACTTGAATTATTAAAAAAAGGAGATTAAGCTGTTTTTGCCGTTTTTCTTAGTGTTATCATTTTCTGTGGATGTTCTTGAGTATTATTATTCCCTATTTTTCCGGATCTCCCTTCCTTCCGCCGCACCCTCAAGACTTGGTTGTTTCAGCGGGCAGGACTGGCCTAGGGGTATTTTAAATTGGTTTTAACTAAATTTTAGTAGAAGCGGCCTATTTAAATATTTATTTTTAATTATTCTCTTAAATTTTGTATTTTGTATTGTATCAAACTATTTTTAAACTGGCTGTAAGCCGCCCTGAGTCCTCCGGGAGAAGGGCGGGGTATAAATATAATAAATTCAAATTCAAATTCAAATTCAAATTAAGACTAACTAGTGAAATGAGAAAGATTTTGCAATAATTTTCCATTTAGGATCATCCAATAAATCAAATCAAATGACTTTATTGTGGTTGTTAACTGGTTGAGATAAAAAGGCAAAGAAGAAAAAAGATAGTTTTCAAATATCCAGAACATCCAAATGTAAATCAGATATTTTTAAAAATATCACTTTACTGAATTTGGAAATCACATTTCTGAAATTAAGTTTAGCCATCAATCCAAATTGGAGAGGAGAGGATTCTGTTCTGCATCCTCATTTCAGAGAGTCATTAATTTACCAGAGAATATTTATAGTTCAGGGTTTTATTGTTTACTTGCAGACATTTCATTACCCAACTAGATAATGTCAACAGTGCTAGAAGGGAGTGGGATTTGCTCTCTGTTTATATAAAAATGGCTTGTCCTGTCAGTGTTGTTTTCTTCTTGATAGTTTCTTGATTAGGCTACTATTTACAGTTTGAGTGCTTGTCTGAGTTGGTAGATCCTTGGTTGGGGTACTACCTTACTGCTTGATTGTTGGCCTGGTATTGATATTGGTGTTAATTTCTGCTTATCTGGGGGTTGATTGCCAGTGAGGAGATATTTTGGTCTTTTTGTTTCCATTTTAGCTTTTAATTGTCTCTTTTGAATGGAATGTGAATGCTGTTTATCTCTATTCCCTTAAGTCATTAATTCATTAAGTCATTAATTTGCTGATCAAAACTATATAAGCACTATGTATAACATACTCACCTGGTTTACATGTGGAGTTACCTGACAGTCCTCCCTCAGCTGTTCCAAGTGTTCAATTAAAAAGTTGCTTACTCCGATTGACTTGCATATACCTTAATGAAAACAGAAAAGGAACTACACATGTGTAACAATTTGTTGTGGCTTTCTAAAACAAAACAAAAGGACAGTGGGTTTACCCTTCTGATATACCCCAAGGAATGTTGAACTTAAAGACAGGCGTTCCAACTTGACCACTTTTCTTCAAATGACCAAAGCCAATGTTACATTTTAAAATTGGGAACTAAAATGCATAGGGCAATGGTGAATAGCAGAGATGAGCTTAAATATTTGAAATCCAAATCTTTTCCTTGACATTAAATTGCAGACTCCACACATAATTGTTGAAAATACATACTGATTCTGCATTTAAGTTTGAATATGGTCCACATAAGAGTTTCAGAAGTAAAAGGTATCTTGGCCGTATCTCAGGAGGCCCTAAGCCAGGGGTGTCAAACTGCAGGCCCACAGGCCGGTTTCATCATACCGAAGCTGCGCCCACCCCATTGCCGGCAATGCAAAAAGAGTCGCAATACACTGCAATACGTCACGTAACGTGGCGAGTTTGACACCCGTGCCCTAAGCAAACCAGCCTACTTCAGCTTCAGTCTTCTTCCTACTCCTCTTGATTTATAAGGCAAGAAGGCTCAACCTATTCATTTCAAGAATGACGAATTCAGCATCAACCAAAAGACGTGAGGAAGAGTGATTACGTACACATCAATGTTTGTAGAACACTCTGCTTGAAAACATTATGGGAAAGGGGCTGTTTGTTGAAAATCAAGTATGACAGTATTATCTAAGGATGCTGTCCAATCAAGACGCTTTTAGGAAGCTGTTTTATAATCTAAACACACTGGGGATTCCCTAGTGGATTCAAGTTTCCAGGCTAAATTCTGGGAAAAGCTGATGTAGTGTAAGCAAAGAACAATTGGACTTCACCAGGTTGAAAAGGAGGAAACTGTGTTCTGAACAGTGTGCCAAAAACTAGAGAAAAGTGGAACACTGGTAGAATGGGTATAAGGGGGGGGGAAACTTCAGGGACAAACAGTTCAAACAGATTTCCGACTCTTTGTAGGTTACTGCTGCAAAAACGTTCTTATATAACTATGAAACTATGTTTAGGAAGTCAAGAATTAAGACCTTGAAGCGCACAGATTTTATACTGAGATTTGCATTTCTGATCCTGCCTGCCACCATAATATCCAAGTATCTGAGGTTATAATGCTTTCCAATATAAATGCAAATAAGTGTGCAGACACGCACATGTGTAAAAGGGAATGTATTAATCTGAATTACATTTAATAGTCCTAAAAATGAGTAAAAGGAAAAGTATGATGAAATTTAACAATAGTTTCCCTAATATTACATGTCACATACTGTAGCCAGGCAAACTTGGATAGCGAAGAGTACAGTTTTTAAGAGGGAAATATCTGGATGTAAAGAGAGTAACCAGAAGCATTTTTAAACTTTATGAATAATTTGATGTAATCAACAATCAGATATAATGGGAAGGGATCTAGAACTTAATATTGTTTTTGCAGTTTTTCATATTCATTGTTCATTTTTCTTCTTCCTTTTTATAAGGTTATGGGCATTTATTTTAGATAATAGGTGTGACATCAAAATAAATATTAATGTTTAGTCTTTTGCAGTGATTTACAACTATTTCTCAAGACAATACAATAATGCTTTTATAGATTCAATTATTTAATTAATGCAGCGATGAATTTAAAATGTCATGACAATTGTCAGTTCTGCTTATTGATGTTTTACATTCCCATCCATCATGTCCATTCTCCATTGTTTTCTTCTTTTATGCAGTTATTAATTTTTTTCCTTAAAATAAAAAAAAACACAGGAAAAAGAATTAAAAAGAAAAAAAATACTCTATGGAATAAAAATCACATTCTCTTAAAAGCCAATGGATAAAATCCAGAGTTTCCAACATCACGCCTCCAGAACTTCTACAATTCTCCAGGTGTCCCAACGTAACCCAGCCATGAACACTATCAAATTGAAGAAGGTTTTTTTTAAAGACAATCTCTTTTATTAACCCGCTTTATTTTATTTATTCAATTTAGGCAATGTCTGACTCCAGACTGACTCACAGTTCACAGCACCAATTTCTTTACTAGGAAGCTTTTACACAAAAGAGAATCCTGTTTTGGCTTAAAGTAATTATATGGTAGAACGGGCAATCTGACATTTTCATATTCTGCAGCACTGCTGATTTAAATGTTATCCTCTGTGTACTACATAATATTGGAATGAACGTTTTCTTTGTGCCCTGAACAATGGCAGCAGTATAGTGATTCTCTTTTTTATGGTATTAAGGAATAGAGATCAAGCTCAGGAATGGTGGAAAATTTGCCATATAAGTAACAAAAAATATAAATTATTTCTATTATAGTCCTTTTAGCCACATCTGCAAGACATAAAAAGGAATTACTGAGAGGCAACAGAAGCATTTTAACTTCCTTAAGATAGCAAAGGCTAATTCAGATTTATTCTTAAGTATATGGTATGAGCACAGAATAGTATGGTAATGAGAGTAACTGTTGGGACTTTATCCCACTAATGTTTTAGAAGAGTTCTATGGCTTCTACCAAATTATAATTGGTATAATGCTCCCAAAAAAGAATCTTAATATTTTATTTCTGAATGGTCTTGAGACTATTCTGCTCCACCTAAAAAGTGTCTTATACTGACATTTTTGGAAAGTACTTGTTCTTTTATAAATAAAAATAATGAGTTATTGGCCCTATCAGTGTTCATAATCCACATGCATGTGAGCTCAGAGTAAATTACTTATTCAATGGAAAACTTTTAAGTGTTTTTAACAAAATAGGTTTTGTTTTGTTTTGTTTTTAAAGTAATTATGCTACTGGTAGAACATTTACAGATATTTTTTTTAAGCTTATGAGACAAATATATGGTTTCCTGAAAAAGGTCAGCTAAAGCCAAAAAACTGCATTTAAATATTATTAGCTCTATAATAATGGAAATGGTTTAATTCTGTGTCTGACAGATGGACACAAGTAAAACAAATCTACCAACTAAGATTTCTATATTGTGTATCTATACATGGCCAGAGAGACTGCATGCTAGGTCATGGGTAGGCAACCTTGGCTCTTTTATGACTCATGGACTTCAACTCCCAGAATTCCTGAGCCAGCATGGCTGGCTCAGGAATTCTGGGAATTGAAGTCCATGAGTCATAAAAGACCCAAGGTTGCCTACCCCTGTGCTAGGTAATTAAGAAACTCCTAACTATCTGGCCAGACCTGTATCCTTTACACTACAGTATCTCTGAAAAATCCTGGCAAATGGGTAAAACATCTTATAACTGGAAGAGACAAATGATGTCCTTATTTTATAAATGGGATCCCAGAAATGTAGACCATTTGATCTTTAATCAGCTTTTTAGAAAATTCTAGAGCAGATAATAGAAGAATGGCTTTATTAGCATTTTGAAACACTGTGATGATAATCAGAGTCCATCGTAGATTTGCCAAGAACTAGTTTTGTCAATCTTAATCTCAATTTCAATCTCTCGCTCCCTCTCCTAGGAAGCAAGCAATGGTAAACCATTTCCAAAATCTTGCCAAGAAAACGGCAAAGACTTCTCCAGGCAGTCACCAGGAGTTAATACTGACTCATAGACAGACAGACAGACAGACAGGGCTTCCTCGATGGACTATGGAAATTCTGTGGCCAAATATATTTTGATTTCAAAGAAATGTTTGAAAAGGCATTTTGAACATCAACAGTTTTTCATCAGATTGGAGAGAGATTAAGTATCAAAAGGTTCAGACCTGGACCCAATGTTCTCTAACATCTTTGTAAAAGATTGGATAAAAGGTATAGGAATTCTTATAAAATCTCACAATCATACAATACTGGGCCAATAGCTAATAATAAGTAGAAGGCAAACAGCATTCAAAAATTTTTTATAGGTTAGAGCAGTGGTTCTCAATCTTTTCTTCAGATCCCCATAGCCACGGACCCCCAAGACTTAACTCAAGTTTTAAATCATAGCATTTCTTCAAGCCTTCGCAGACTCCCTGTGGTAACATCGCACCCTCTCCCCCCAGAGGTCCGTGGACCACAGGTTGAGAATCACTAGGTTAGAGAAATGAGTTGAAAATAACAGAATGAAGAGAATAAACACAATGGTTAGATTAATACAACGTTCATCTATAAGCCCCAGTTCACAAAACATAAACTAGATTCATATAAGCTAAGCCAAACCAAATACTCTGTCTTCGTGTAAGGATTTGATGAATTGCAAAACATAATATATGGCTTAGGTAGATGTGAACTAGACCACAAGGGTTTGTTCAACAAACCACACTTAATGCAGTATATTAATTAGCTCTTTATTGGTGGAGTCCAGTGTTTTAATGTGGATTTGCAGGGGAAAAAATTCTTTAATATGGATTTGCAGAAGCCATAAGCACATTTCCCAAAACACTAAGCTAATGCAAATTCAGCACTCTCTTTCTTGTGAAAACAGGAACTGCAGACTGCAACCAGATAACACAGGAAGATTATTAACATACTAATGAATTGGCACATAGCCATTTGATGCATGAAATCATTAGTGATTTGTCTTGTCACCAAAATCCCACATAAATAGAAAGAACCTGACCGTTTGAAACAGCTGTGTTGTCAACCCACTATGTCTGCATGACTTTTATTAATACTAATAGGATCTCAGAATATATAATGGGATGAAAACCTACCTTAATCCAAGATTTAAATATAAATCCCTATTAGCATAAATTAAAAATTTGCAATTCAGATTCACTTTGCACTTGCATACTAAATAGAAGCAGCAACGTATCATCTTGGCTTTTTACATAACTATAATTTAACACAAAAGCAGAGATTCTGTGACACTTTAACATTCACAATTCAGCTTTTATTGTTGACAGACTGACCCTGTGCCTTGGTACAGCATTACTGATTTCACAGATTTGTTGCATGGATAGAATAGATCATAAATGGAGAAGCCTAGCATCTTTAGAAAGAGGCAAAATATAAATACAAT